CGATTACCCCAAGAAATTTTAATTCAGTAACCCTTTCGATATTAACCTTTTAGTTATATTTACTACAATATTTTAATGTGTTTTCCAAATAACATGAATTTTGTTTAATCCAGATTTAAAGATAGTTTATTTGTATCAAACCATTTTTATACCATGTATTTCTTTTGTGATTACCCCAAGAATCTGCTGCAAATCCACACCAGTACAAAGAATGTTTGTGTTGTCTGATAATGAAACAAATCTGGATTGCGTTGATACTTTACATATATCATTTATGTACATAATAAACATTTTTTAGGCCTAGGACGGATCCTTGAGGTACCCCACAATTGATATTCATGAGTCTAGATTTATTTTGATCTATCTGTACAAACTGTTGCCTATTAGTTAAGTAGCTTTTAATCCAATCCAATACTACACCGTTGCAAATCTGCAACGCCTGCCTCCAGATGGTTAAACAGGATGTTCAGAGTTTTGGAGCACAAAAAGCATCCCTCAGCTGTGTTGATTGAATAAAGAGAAATATAATGTAAAACATTGATTTGTCTTGTTTATGTGCATCGATTGCAGTTCATAAAACACAAAATAGTTCGGTTTAAGCAATATTTGTAATAAATGATTTTTTACAGTTTAGCAAAAGTTTCTACTTGTCATGCGTGTGTTTTATTGATTAAATTCTATTTATTGGGATTAAATTCTTTGTTTATTTATACTTTATTTAGTGAAGAAAGTGACTGTAAAACCTGTCAGTAACTTTACTTACGCAACAACAGCAGAATCATCAAAGCTGTGGTATGTTATAAACGTTAGGAACTTCGTTTTCTGACGCTTCTGGTTTCTGCCAAGATTATGTAAGCTCACCTGTGTGCAGGTAAGCAAATAAGTATGCACACCACGCCGCTCATGCACTCACATTTACATGTGGCCTCACACTTGGAGCTGTAATTTTCATGCCTTGTGTTGCAATAATTCTAATAATCATAATACCAACAATTCTTTGTGCAGATTGGCCTTCTGAGATGACAGCACATGTATGTTTGTATCCTTTCCTTCAATCATGTAACCCTTAAATATGGTGTTCTGTGAGAAAATGTGACTGCTGTAGGTGTGTGTGTGCATGTGTGCGTGTGTGCGTGTGTGTGTGAGAGAGAGAGAGAGAGAGAGAGAGAGAGAGAGAGAGAGAGAGAGAGAGAGAGAGAGAGAGAGAGAGAGAGAGAGAGAGAGAGAGAGAGAGAGATTTACTCACCCACCAAAAACGATGATTTATGTGTTTGGCAGTTGAAGGTGTAAACACAGGCAAGTCGGCACACTCTCAGTGCACACACACACATACACACACACACACACACACAGCTGGCACACATCACACACACACACACACACACACACACACACACACACCTGGCACACATCACACAACTCCTTTTATTCCTGAATTTGCCTTTCAGACACACGTGTTTAACGGATGACTTATTCCCATAAACGCACACACAAATTCATTGAGTTCCCCTGTACTCCCACATGTTCTATACATAAAAGTTGGAGCATGCCCCACCCACTCCCTCACTCATTCTCTTACACACACGCACGCACGCACGCACGCACGCACACACACACACACACACACACACACACACACACACACAGAAATGCTGAGGGCCCTGGAGGAATGGAAGGTGCTGAAACTAGTTGTGTGTTGGGTGTTGTCTACAGCTGGAACAGGATCTGGTTACCCGGCACTCCCTAACTTTCACGTCTAAAACACAAACGTCACACCGATGTCCAGATAAGCCAATGACCCGGCACCTCATCTTGTAAAGTGTTAAACTGATGTGTGTGCACACATGACACTGCGCAAACACACCCACGGAGATCTGGAGCGCGCCGGTGCATCAAAGTCCAACGAGATCATTATGAAGTTGTAATAAAAGAATAAAAAAGTGGAAAAAGGTGTGTTGGGGAGAAACAATGAGGGAAAAAAGGGGAAATGTATGTGTGTGCTTTGTCTCTGCTAATCTAATCTAAATTAAACCGGTAGAGTGAGATGACCAGATCACATCCAAGCACGCTAACGCTCAACTGAAATAGTTTGCATAATGATAGAAAGGTTCTTGCTTTCCCCCTTTTTTTCTTTATTGTATCTCTCTGTTTTCCCTCAAATTTATCCTTTATCCCCACCCAAAAACCTCTCCCTCTTTTGCTCCATTTTCCCTCAGATTATGTGTTTTCCCTCAACAGTTCCCTTCTCTCCATGTGAGTTTTATTGTGCACTTGAACAATCAGAGATCATTGCATGGGTTGCTGACAAGGGCAAAGGCCTACAGGCCGGCTGAAGGAGGAAGAGGAGAGAGCAGCAAATAAAAAAAAAGAACATCCAGCAAATAAAAGACACCTGGAAGGAGAAGAAAGCAAACAAAAACGAGTCAGTCAGTTAAAAAAAGAGGAAGATGGAGATAATTACACTGAGCCCACCACACCCCTCCATGGATCAGGTCCTAAAAGATAGAGCCTGACACATCTTCATTCAGCCAAAAGCTGGAGACAAATTATGGTGGAGATAATAAAAAGCTGTTCACTCATCCAGTCATGCTAATTAAAACAAGCAGAATGCAGCTGGAACTAAAGTGACTCAGATTAGTGAGGATATAGTCACAGAGAAGAGATGGAGGATGGATAGATGATAGATAGATGATGATAGATAGATAGATAGATAGATAGATAGATAGATAGATAGATAGATAGATAGATAGATAGATAGATAGATAGATAGATAGATAGATAGATAGATGGATAGATAGATAGATGATAGATAGATAGATAGATAGATAGATGATAGATAGATAGATAGATAGATAGATAGATAGATAGATAGATAGATAGATAGATAGATAGATAGATAGATAGATAGATAGATAGATAGATAGATAGATATAGATAGATAGATAGATAGATAGATAGATAGATAGATAGATAGATAGATAGATAGATAGATAGATAGATAGATAGATAGATAGATGATAGATAGATAGATAGATAGATAGATAGATAGATAGTCATTATTTGGACATGAACATTACCTTGCGCCGTGGCGCGTGAAGCCAGCAGGCTGCCCAACAGCAGAATCCACAGGTATGACATCATTTGAAGCCGCTGGTTTGGTTGTTCCGAGAAAAAAAAATTGGGGGCTCCCTCTCCCTTTTTTCCGCCCTTCACCAAGGACAATTACCGGGCTCGGAGGTTTCAGGTGAATCCGGAGGGCGTGCGTGCTCGTCAGCGTGCCGGTGCGTTCTTGCGCGTCGTGTCGCTCCAAGGTGGCCAGATGCTCAGACTCAACTCGCGCCGCCGCAGACCTGTCGTCGTCTTTTGTCCGGATTGGGAGAGAGGGTTCGGTTTTTATTAAAGTGGGCGGGTCTCCGCGCCTAACTACAGGCTGACGGACGTTTAGGGCTCGATGTTGCCTTGGTAACATGGATTGATCCACAAATCAATATTTGATTTGATAAACCATCCGATGCTGTAGGTTTTTATTGGTAACATGAGTTTCTTTTTAAGTGTTATCCTATGGTCGACAAAGACGTATTCAGAAATAGTCATGTTGTATTTAACCATCTCAGGCTCATTTAGTTTTAGATGAAACACTTTCTTGTTGCCTAAGTCCATATTTATCTGGCTTGTATGCATGTCTTTTATCAAATTTATAAAACATGGACAAATTAATTAATTGGGGGTATGACGTCATTTTAATCCTAAAACAAGTTTCTGTTTGAGACTTTAAATCATGACCTCAAGGGAAAACCTGGATGAGATCAAGCAGATACTTTTACCTGCCTTACCTTTCTCAGCCTCTTCTATGGAAGCCCACTCCTGCCACTCTGATTTAAAAATGATCTCATGAGATACTAAATATGAGATAGTAAGTCAAAATTATAAGATAGCTATCTCTTAATTATGAGATAATTAATAACTTTGACTTACTATCTCATAGAAACTCATTATTATGAGATACTGTCTTATAATTAAGACTTAGCTATCTCATTTATTTTATTTCTTTATAAGATCCCATTGAGATAAAAAAAAACCTAATTTTCAAGGGGAGTCGTGACCAAGAGGCAGCAAAAGATAGTCACAGCTCTTCTCAGTTATATACAGAAATACAGAAGGCAGTGACAACACAGGGAATCCATCTCTAGTGCTCTCAAACTGGTTTTAAACGTATTCAAGGAGATTAATCCAGTTTCCTTACCCACTTATCCTCACGGGGTAGCGGGGTGGGGATGCTGGTGTCAATCTCCAGCAGTCTCCAGACATGCAGGCGGTTTCAAAACAAGAAACCCAGTTTTGAGTTTGAGTTTCTTCAGTAGATTATCTATATGGGGCTTGAAGGAGAGGGAGTCGTCAAGCCAGACGCCAAGGCATAATAATAAAGTCATAATAATGCAATACTAAGTCAAAATTAGAGATGCTAATAATATCATCTAATTTGAGAAAGTATCTCATAACTTAGCTCTCAATTTTGAGAAATTATGAGATAGTATCTCATAATTATGAAATATTGAATCACAATTATAAGATTTTCTTTAATCAGTGGCGGGAACGGGCTTCCATAAATTTCTGCTTTGCATAATAGATTTTTACTTTAAATCAAGAGGGGGCGCCATTCAGCCAGCTGAGTTAATGAGGAAAAGTTGTAAATTCCAGATGTTCGTTAGAAAACTAAGTTGTGTCATACACTTTTTAGATCAAAAACTTATTTTACTTTCTCCATGAGGGAATTGTATTTGCTTTGTTTAAGATTATTATTTATGCATTTACTAGGCAGGAGCAGGTGGAGAAGATGAGGCAGTGCTAAAATAGGGGTAAGCTTGTTTTGATATAAACTAAAGACAAACATCAGGACTTTTAGATTTTGGCCCGTTTCTCTGAGCCACAATCCTCATTTCTGCAAAAGGCTGTGTTTAATCTGTAACATGCGCAATATTGAGTAAGAAAGATGCAACAAAATGATTCAAAAACTTTATTACATATTTTGCAAATTAGCACAACTTTTAATGGATTTGATGTAAAAATAAAAAAAATCTGCTTCAGGCTGATTCTGAAACAAAAACTTAAGGTTTGTGGTTATCTGCACTTTCAGATCCATTTGGTACCTAATTTCGCCTCCTTTAAGGATAAATGCGTGTGTTTGGTTTCTATACTTCACAAAGCCAGATTAGAGCGTATTAGCTCCTTCATTTAGGTCACAAAACGGTGACGAGTCACACTGAAATCAGTTGGTTTTTAAACGTCGTGGTTTTTTTAGGCTGTGAAGCTCTGCAGTAGGAAGGCAGCCGAGTTATGGTTCTGCCTCTGTGCATCAAGGAGGTAAACAAGGAAACATGCAAGGCATATTATTTGGCAGCGTGGATTCATTATTTAACAATAAAATAACCACTCATCGTTTACTTTAACAGTTCAAAGTCTGGCAGTCCACCTTTCTTCGCATGTAATCTGTACCTGAACTTCGATGACGTATTTCGTATAAAATCTGAAACTGTAGTGGAGCTCATTATTTAAGGTGGAGCATCCATCTGAAAGAAATCTGACCAAACGTCTTAATATTCAATGCTACGTTCAAGATTATTTCCAAGAATTCATCTTAAAACTGCTGTCCACCTCAGTTTCTTTAGCTTATTGTCAAATTACTAAAAGTACATCTCCTATGAAGCGGATTCTAACATCCATGTGCAGCTTCTCATGACCTGATTTAGAGTTGTAATCTGCTGCTCGTTTTTTCAAATTTAGGATTAAGGAAAAATCATACAGTCACAGCGTTTGCTTCAACATTTTCAAATAATATGCAGGAAAAACAACAAAAGAAAAACAGAAATGTTGGCAGAATTATTATCCGTTGCCGCGTAAGACAAGTGGAGGCAGTGTTCGAGCTCCCTGCCTTTCTCCACACAACTGCAGGACGAGTTGCCGATGGCTGAAGTCTGTGCAACCTGAACGAACGACTGCTACTTTTGGTCAAGGGTGCGATTTGGTCCCTTAAGTGGCTCACATTTTGTTGAAGCACTCTTTGGCATTAGACCACACCTGGATTCCCTGAAAGAGAGAACACATGGCAGAAGATGTGAAACGTTACTTGCATGTGAAGCATGAACGGGAACGAACGAACTCTGAAGGAACAGAAACAGAGTCCTCACCTTTTTACACATGCTGATTTGCATAATGGCATAGCTGATTAGGGCCTCCCGTAAATCTTTGTCTTTCTGCTCCTTAAAGCGTTCAATGTCAGTCCAAGCTTTTTGCACAAACTCCCTAATGACACACAGACACACACACACACACAGAAAATACAATCATAAGTATTTCCCTCAAGACAATCGAGAGGAAGAGGAAGAGGAACAATGCAACAGTGTGTATGCTCTTATTTGGCTTGTTCCTAGTTTTATAATGACACAGATGGTTCTTGTTGATAAAACAAGTGAACAGACAGGTTGCTGTGCAACAACACAGAGGTGAGCCTCTAATTAAAGCAGCTGCCATTCTGGTTGGTTTGGCAGAGATGAGCTCCCGAGCTGCAGTGACAGGGCGGTTAGCTTCATCAGTTATCAAATAAATAAATAAATTAGGGATGTCTCGATCCGATCACATGCTCGGAAATCGGCCCCGATCACGTGGTTTCAGACTCGATCGGGACTCAGGCTTTACTTCCCGATCCGGACTCGGACACTGGGTTCAAATTACAGGAGAGCAACTTGGTTCTCCTTAAAGGTTGTCAGGCTCCCCTGATGCCCTTAACTTACACACCCAGAAGGAGCACAAAAGAGACCAGGCCCCCACATTGCGGCTCAAAATTGCAGTTCCACCCTCATCCACTAGGGGCTGGTGTCAGAAGCGAGCAAATCCTCATTGACTCCCATGTTAAAAATACCAATTTCACAGCAGAAATAAACATGTTTACAGCCTGGTACCAAAACATGCTTTTGGTTTAAATGATCTAGTTTACACTCATGACAACTCTGAGGGGGGTGCATTTTTTTTATCACTCTTCTGTTTAAGTGTATTAAAAGCCTAAATTTCTGTATAATTAATGAGCATCAGACCCACGTGACTGACCGCCGAGCTAGCTCCGTGGAAAGGCCTCAGTAGAGCCTCGGCCTGGCTTGGAAACTGTTCCAGGATTTTGAGTCTGTGTGTGTGTGTTCTTTTTTGGATATTTTTTGTGCAATTGTTGGACAAAATGACTTGCTGTGGCATTAATTGCACTAATAGAGCGTCCAAGGAGTCGCCACTTCATTTTTTTCTGTAAGTAAAATTATATTTATGTATTTTAGGTCACTGCCGAGCTGAGCTTAGATTTTAACATGTACTGTTTAACCATGAAATTTAAATCTAATAGGGTAAAACCCAGTGCATGCTGCACTTTAGAAAATGAGTTGAAATACAACATGTTGGTGGAGCTGGGCTCCGACTATCGGCTTGTGGAGCTCTCGGGAGACCGATGTTTTCCACCTGGTTCTCCCCTCCCCACAGATCTGTCTGATCGCGGCTCCTGTCTGCTGCGCGGGCTGACGGCTTGTGGAGCTCTGGGATGGAAACCATTCCACCCGGTTCTCCCCAGCGGCAGCTCTGCGCATCTCAGATCGCAGCGGCGCTTGTCTGCTGTGCGGCTGCCGGCTTGTGGAGCTCTCGGAGATCTCTGTGTTCCACCCGGTTTTACCCAGCGGTCAGCCCGGCGTATCTCTGACTCAGAAGCTCTGGTGTTGTGCACAGTTAACTCCGGTTGTAGCTAGGTTGCTACCTCCGTTAGCTTAGCTCCCACCTCCACGTTAGCTTTGGGTTAGCTTGTAGCTAGTTCGACCGGGTGTCGTCAGTTGATCCCAGCCTTACAGCCACACCCTCAGCTCCTCCTCTCTTCCCTTTTATGGAATTGTCTGGGCTTGACGGAACCTGTGACAAGGCCAAAATGGCGGTGGTGGCCACCTCCCATTTTAGCACAAAAACGTGTTATTGGAGCCTATGGAAATGAATTGTCCAGTATATATATGTCGATGAAAGAGATCCAGTTTCTACCCATATTATATTATTTATATGGACTCAGAGTAGCAGGGATTCTTAGATGCAGAGATGCAGAGAGCGGCAGGCAGACCGCTGATTATTCATGAACTCCAGCTGCGTTCTGCACACGGCCACAGTAACATTTTCTACGTTTCTAAGTGGCGTCACCAAAAATATACAATTAACACACAGTCATCCGTGTCCGTTCATTTTCTCGCTGGTATGTTCTAGCTGCAAGTTCTGTCTGTATTTGAGCATGACGTGTGGACGCGCTCACGCTGCAGCGCTCGTCACTGGCGCAGCCAGGCAGCGTGGTGCACACCGCTTTTATTGCGGTCAATAGACCAACTTGATCTGCTAGTTAAAAAGTTACTTGTGAGGTGAAAAAGTAGGGAGCAGGCAGGAGTTTTTCTGGAGGACTGGGAGATGCAGGAAGATCAGAGACAGACAGGACAGGAAGATAGGAAAATAAAAACCAAGAAAACAAAACAAAGTTCTTAAAAACATAAAATGTAGGTAGATTTATTCCACTACACGTTTGTACCTGTATAAAGCAATAATTTATCAGCATGTAGTATTTATATAGTTGTTACAATTCTAATCATCTTCAAAACTCCGTCCCATGCCCAGGGGCGTATCTAAGCGTTTTGGGGGCCGAGGCAAAATAGACCCCTGCCAGGTATTTTAAGTTGAAGTGCTATCTGCTTTTATATTAGACTTTATATTTGCAATAAAGCCCAAAAGTGAAGAATTTATGTTATGTATTACTTGACTGTTCAAGCTACCTCACAGAAGTGATCTGTTGTTAAAAATTAAAATAAAAAGGTAATTAAATAAAAAAAAGAGGAACATCCTGGAACTGTTTCTTCCTTTTCTTTATTTTTTTTTTAATGTAACGAAAGTATCGGATCGAGACTCGGTATCGGCAGATTCTCAAAATCAAATGACTCGGACTCGGGGGCAAGAAAACCTGAATAAATGACAAACGGGTGAAAAATGTTTATGTTTCAACAGGGAAATGGTCCTGATCTGGGTTCAGACCAGGTCAAGACAAGAATTTCTTTAGGTTTATTAGAATCGCGTGATGAATTTTCCCTTCACCCAATATCTACAATGAAAAGTCCTTAAAAACAGATTTTAACAAACCTCACGAGATATTATTTAATAAAAAACTGTGATTAAGCTTTACAATCATCAGGAGGAAGTCACACGGACTAGAGGAAATAAATTTAAAAAAGAAGCTAACTGAACTGATGTTGGCTTACTGGCATTCAGCGTCCTTCTCCTTTATGGCTTCCTCTCCCTCCTGGATGCTCTGCTCCAGGGCTGCTATCCTGCCCTCCCTCTGCTCCTGACTCTCTTGTCCGAATAATTTACTGGTCATTCCCTTTAGAGAGAAGATCCGCACCGCCTGCACAAACCAAAAATAATAGTCCTAAAATTATCAGGAGACAGAAAACATTAAAAATGCATGGTGTGTGTGTGTGTGTGTGTGTGTGTGTGTGTGTTACCCCAGTTGCCAGTTCTTCTTTCTGCTGTTTCTTGTACGTGAGGTCTTGTGCTGCCATCTCCAGCTCATACTGGATCAACTCATGTTTCCTGCACACCGACCTTAACACAAATCAAAGTTTCAATGGATGGAAAAACTCTAGAAAGACATAACAGGAGTGTTTTTAAACTTAAAAAAAAAAGCCTAACAACACTTGCCGTGGTCTCTAGTATAGTCGTTTTCTGTGCTGCTTCTAGTAGAAGCTAGTTAGGAGTGGTGGTGGCTTAAAACTGCAAGATTTGGAGTCTTACTCATTAATATTAATGACATTTGACATTTCTTCTCTGATTGGCAAACAGCAATGCAACTATATGACTCCATTTGATTTGTAATGTTGATGTTTTATCTCCACAAGTAACATAAGGCTGAAGGAGTTCTGCTGTGTGGTGGAGTTGCTAATGCTAATGGTTAGCACCTTTAGCAGAGACGTTCGCTGTTGTTTCTTGGACACTAAACCCACAACAGCTATCCCTATCGCAAGCCAAGATGGTGAATCCATGAATGATAAGTGACAGTGTGACGTACATCTGTGAGGCTTTTTCTAATCCGATCGTTTCCTTGTCTATTCTCTTTCGGCGGCTAATCCAGGAAATGGGGGTAGAAGACCGTTTTCACATTCAGCATTCACGTGAAACTCAAGGGGACCGTATTTCAAACAGAACAAGTAAAAACTGTTTCTCAGTGAACTTGCTCTTTAAGTTTTTTCGTTCCTCTCCACTACACTCACCTACCTGACAGAATCAGTGTAGAAAAGGTATTCCTTCAGTTGGTCGGCATAGTGCTCCTCTTCTTCAAGGATGTCATCTATTGCTGCAGCATACCTGGATGCAAATTCACAGTCATAATTACAGATGAATCAATGACGAACCTTTTCCATGTGTTAGTGACACTAACACTCAAAAGGCTCCGATACGTACGTGTCCATGTGGTGGCCAGCACTTTGGAGTCCATCTCCCATTTCTTTTTCTATAGCGCTCCATTCACTAAAGACATCATATTACAGTTACACATATACCTAATGTAAGGTTTTAATCCTTTACCAATGTGGAGATGCGACACTAGCTCCGTACCTGAAAACTCTGCCATAGTTTCCATGAACTTTGTAAACTCCATACACTCTGTCTGCTACCCGCTGGGAAATTAAAGAGCAATCAGATCAATAGTTTGCTGTTTTCTACTATAAATCTTGATCAAAGGCCTTTGTTTTCATCACAACAGGATTGTAGACAACAAGGTTGCCTATGGAAAGCGGCTCTGCACAGATCTGTTTTGTCCACACTTACCGCTCTCACCCTGAGTAACTGCAAAATGATCGTGTTCAACTCATCGCTGTAGTGTTTCAATCCCATGAATCTCCTGGAGAACACAGCAGAGATAAACCTTGTTTGTATTTTTAAAGCAATAATTTGTGTTTCTGGGAAAAAAATGAAATATCTTTGAACGCCTCTTAATTTCTTAATATTACATACAAATATCTATAAACTATTTTTAGCAAACAAACATCCTACGACTATCGTTTAATCAGATATGCTGATTAATAACTTTATATCTGTGTGAAAAGTACATCAAAAATGTCTGTTTTACACCTACTTGTCAGGATTCTTGACTCTTAACATGGCACTCAAAGACTTTAACCTAGAGTCCACCTTGAGAACAGAAATACATATAAGGAAATAAAACAACTAGGATTTACTTTTACATTATAAAACCAGCCTGAAATACTAATTTTAGAACAACAACAACAACAAAAACAAAAAACACTTTGAGGCCAAACTGATCAATAAAACTGTAAAAACTAATAGTACCTTGTCTTGAAAACCCGTCTCTTGAACAGCATCCCTCCATCCCTTTTCCTGAGGATATGTGAGACAGTGATTTGAACAATAAAAATAAAAGTGAAGATTTGTTTAAGCAGAATAAATGCTGAACTTGACCAAGTGCCTTGCTACACATCCTGAACGAGGATTTAACAAAAAAGGGAACAATTTCCTACACATTTTACTAGTTGACACAATAAAACCTTAGAATAAGTGAACTGGATGTACAATAAAAGGCTACAACTCTAAATTATTCATTACCTCTGTAAGAAAGAGGAAGACAATTTTGTCATTGGACAAGACAGGATGTGACGCAACACGCAGCAGGAAGTTTTCCAGACCAACTCTCCGTCTCTCAACAAAATCTGGATCAAGGTTGTCTGCTGAAAGCTTGTGCCACACAAACTCAGCCTAATAGAATAAAAAATATGCAGTATTTAATAAACCCAAGAATGAAAACCATCTACAAGAAGACGCCACAAGACTTTTCTGCCACCCACCCTTTTCTCTGGCAATGGAGGGATGATTATGTAAGGATAGGTGACCAGGAGGTAAGTTCTCAGTAGCTCAAACTCACTGTAGCGCCTCCACAACGTGTCAGGTGCAGCTGGCGTACCTCCTTCTGGGACAGATTCAGCTGGTCTTTCAGGCAAAAAAAGATGACATTTGGATTCCATTTTTAAAATTAAAATAACAAAGAATTAAATAGTTTTTTTTACTGCAAACATGAGGAGTATCTATATTCTAGGAGAAAGTAAATATGTCTGTTAATATAAAATTCACCATTTTATTCCCTCTGCAGATTATTTTCTGCAGCTTCAGGTTGTTTGTATTTATAAAAATAATTTATGACACACACATATCTTACCGTGTTTCTATGAGGTAGACAGTGTAGGTTTCCTGCATGTTAACAGTGTTCTTCCCCGTCCTCTTATCCGCTTCTGCCACACTTATCTCCATTTTTCTCAACAGAACAGTACCTCTTTCTACCATCTACAGTCGGGAGAGACAAGTAGGGTCATGAGCAGGAGAATCAAAAGGTGCAAATTTGCATAAAATGAGCAGAAAAATGCGCCTTTTGACTGAAGTCATTCTGCAAGCTACAGGGCAAAAAATACAAAAACAATGGTAATACACTGCGTCAAATCGCGAATTTGGATTTGTGTTTAATACAATAAGCAAATAAACGCAAATCACGTGACGCAAAGAGGCTCATTCAATGTAAACAAAAGTTAGCCGTTTCACTTGCTAACTAGCAAGCTAACATCATGAGCAAAGTTTTCCATAGTTTCAAATGACAACTTCAGTCTATTTTACTAGTTTGCCTTTAAAAGTATGCATTTAAAACACAGAGCTAAACATTTAGTTTTGCGTCAGAAGCTAATAAACATCCAATAAAGCTGCAAACTCGCCTTTGAAGAACTTGTAGGAAAATTTCCGTAGCCAAAAGTCGGTTAGCTAACTTAGGCCGTGACGATTGTTGCTAACGCGCATACGCGTCTTTTTACATTACAAACAAGCTTTCTGTATAGAATAACAAAAAGTAGCACCGTGTTTATGATGTTGTTCTCCGATTCAGCTGAAGTGATGTCGGTGTTGCAAATCACGGCAACTTCTTCGCTACTTCCAGAGTCTGCCATCATCATCTGACTACGGTCAGCTGAGCTGGCAGCGCGCAAGCGCACTTCAGTGCAAGGTCGGCGCCTTAAACTGCTTGGCTACAACTTGTAATGAAACACCGCCAAATTATTACGCCACCGGTTCTGACTACTTTAACTAGTCCGAGGATGGTGTAAAAATTACATAAAAATGGGTTATTACCAATTATTGCTATATTTATTTAGAAAACAAAAAAAATCAGATAAATATTTAAATTTACCCTATAAATGCCAGTAATGATAAACAATACATGGTGTATCGACTAAAATGGTGCGAGAAGTAAGCGTTTATGTCCAGTCAAAGAATGCTCGTGACCAGTTTTCTCTATTTTTGTTTGGCACTGCTGACATCTACTGGTGCAATAGTGAAAATGCAAAAAAATAAAAAAATAAAATAATAATAATTGAAAAAGCTGAAACGTGTACACTACTTATGTGTTTAAGTTGCTTGGTTTTCTAGTTTTTGTAACAAATGATAGAGGCTGCCACACTTTAAACATGAGTGGTTAGTATTACAAGCAAACCAGCATCAATTTACTTTGTAGAATTTGATAGATTTATTTTTTGTTAATATTCTAATGTCAAATACGTTTTTCTGCAACCATATAATGGATTATATTACTTTCAGCAGCTATGGTGCTTTTTTAAAAACGACATTATTCTTGTATGTGCACATAAAAAAACATATACTCAACCACAGACTCAACGCCTCTGATTAATTAGTTTTGTAATTAGGTATAAGCTTTGTAATTAATCGATCTTGATTAATCACATTTTAATCGTTCAAGACTATTTGCCCCCAAGCATTTAAAAAATTTTTTAAATAATATTAGTGAGGCACAGATGCCATACACAGACCATAATCAGTTATTTTCTGTAACCACAAGGTCTATTTGATTATTTTGGTCTCAATATGAAGGGAACCATTTTGGTGAATAGATGCGAGATGCACCAGTTGGTGACAGACAGCAGGGACGATGGTGGGATGTGGTTGTAGGCTGCAGCATGTCAGAAAAACCAGAGCTTTTGCTGTGACCTGTTGCTGTCATAGCAACAGCATAGTTCCCATTCTTTCCTGCCACTGACCTCAAACCAGTCACCGTCACTTCCTGTCCGGACACACGGGCATTCATACACATTCTGACCCAAGCACATCAAGTTCTTTTGGTTTACTATAATTGGCTATTTGACAACTTTTTACAACAGTCTGACCAACAGTTGCAATGATATAAAACACAATGTGTTTTTCCTGAAAGTTTATGTTTATGTTTATTTATTTGGCAGACACTTTTATCCAAAGCGACTTACAATTTATAACCTATAGGGCATGTTGTGATCTGTGGAGGAAACCCACGCATGCATGGGGAGAACACACAACTCCCCGCAGAAAGGCCGCAGCCGAGTTTCGAACCTGCAGTCGAGTTTCGAACCTGCAACCTTTGTGCTGCGAGGCAACAGTGCTAACAACTGCGCCACCATGCAGCCCAAGTTCTAAGTTCTATATTAAGATGTTCTGAGCAAGCTGCATTATGCACAGTAATTTAAAAGTGTGTTGTTTTGCATTTTTACATAACAGAAACATTTAGATGTCATACTACATAACATTATTATTAACTAGACAGACGAACAGCAGAGGGAAGCAAAAACCAGATATCTGCAGCATATAAATATTAAAATAAGAGTCATCATTCCCAAAACTGAAATGAAAAGCTACAGTATGATCAGTTAGAATCACCTCAAATCTCAGTGTCTACATTTTAATTTTAATGTTTCATCATAACAGTGGTTGAAAAGTACATTTACATCTGGAATAATGAAGGTTTTTTTCATGTTTTATGCTGTATGTATAGACTATGTATATGTAGACTGTATGTACAGTCTATGGTTTTATGTCATGTTTGCGTACGCAAGACTGAGAAATATCACTGAGAGGAAAGGTTTGTGACCTGTTGAAAGAACACGTGTTTTTATCATTATCACAGTCCCTATCTTTCATTTTCCTCTCATTCATCTCTCTATTTTTGCCCATGACACTGGTGGAAAACTCACGCAGAGTCCAATGAGGCTATATTCGTATGTATGATCGACGCTTGAGTAAAACAGGGGATAACTATTTTTATTTTACCTCACACCAAGCAAACATCATCTACCTTTCACTCTGTGTTTCAAAAATTACCATTCAATATTTAGCATTTAAACTTTCTTCCGTCATAAAACTTGCAGCAAATCATTTTGTAATAAACTGACGAAGTTCCAAATGTGTCCCGTGTATTATTTATGTTTTTATTGGGGTTTAGACTCCCATCAATCATCCGCGCGATGACAAATTAAGAGGTAGCAGTCTCATTGAATGCTTCTTTGCATTCATGTTGTTGCCAAGATTACTGATACATGTGTGCACATTTACTGAAAATGAGCCCTGTCTAATGCATGCATGCACACAGACACTCGCGCATATGCGAGCACACATGCAGAGTGTGAGCAATGCAGTATAATAAGTAGCATGGCAGAAATGTGGTTAGCTGTGCCCCATGTCCAATCATCAAGAAGCCACATGAAGGATTCTTGGTATTAAAGGACAAGCCTTGGTTGGCTGGGAGGGAATCAGTCATGCAACAAGAAAACAGCTTTTTTCACCCATTTCCCTTCTTTCATGTTTTCTCAATCCATTTATTTTTTTAACTACTCCAAGTTTGGTCACTTTTCCAATTTCTGTCCCTTACTCTCCCTAATGCCACACCCCTTCTTCTTTTATTTCTTTCATTTTGTGGCACATTAAACTAAGTTGTAATATTCTCTAGCCCAAAAAGCCTAGACCACTGGAATCTGGAATGTTTTGTCAAAAGAAGGTGGGCGGACCGGGGTGGGGGGTGGGGGTGGGGGGTTTCAACCCAGCTTAACCAATTAAGGAGGAGATTGAGGTAAAATGGACAACTTCTAAATGGTGTAATAACAACCTACTAAAATGTAATTACAACGCAATAGCAATAGACACTTCTAATGACAGGATGTGTACGCCAATGTGATTTCCTAAGTATGGCCTTGGCATAATGGGTGACTGTTAACATGGCGTGGAGATTATAGAGAGGTGTCTGAATGCAGAGATGTAACCACATGGCTTTGCAGCAGTGTGAAGGGCACAGTAGCCACTCAGGAACTCTAGAACTGACAATAATTTCTGAGTTATTAATGATTATGTGAGTTTTAATTATCTACTTAGTAACAAACACAACAGCAAATGAGGATTTTTGGTTTTTCTTCATGAAAATGATCATTTATGACCCTTTTAGAGATTAGCACATGACAAAATGTCAATTAATCTGCCTGCATATCATCCATCCATCCATCCATCCATCCATCCATCCATCCATCCATGTCTAACAAGAGGAGTGGATGGTGGCGTCCATTATTACAGAGCATCCCAGAATAGCATCTCGTTTTATTACAAGTCCCTCTGGTCGCCGTGGCTACCCAAATTACAGGCCAGCCTTCTCACACATAAAAAAGGTTGCACTGCCGAAAACCAGCCACCTCAATAAAGGATGGATTAGAAAATCCTTTGCTTTTTTCCCTTCCTTTCCTTTTTGAAAGATTTTCAGTACATTTTTTCCCTCTGGTGTTTTGTTTTATGTTGGGGTGCAGCGGTCTTCTTCAGTGGTTCTGCTCCCCGACCCTGCGGCGGGAAAATACGCTCACTTGTGGGTTTCTGGGAAGGCAGCGGTGAATGAAACATCTGCTGGGAGTGAGATATATGTCCATGTGTGTGTGAGCATGGATGCATGTATCCATACGTGTGTGTGTGTGTGTGTGTGTGTGTGTGTGTGTGTGTGTGTGTGTGTGTGTGTGTGTGTGTGTGTGTGTGTGTGTGTGTGTGTGTGTGTGTGCATGAACGCTGCTCTGGGATTCTGTTCGAGTTTCCAAACCTGTTATAGTGATAAAAACAAAGCAGTAATGGTGAATGAATTGGCAAGACAATTTGCTCATTATTCTGTTTGTCTAAATGCTTCATGTGCATCAATTGTTCTGAAACATTTAGATTCTTATTGTTTTTCTAATCGTTTTTAGCTAATTGCTAAATATTTTCACAGTGAAAAGTGAGATTTCACAGGAAAGAGTTTGATTGAGAAATTGGATTCATGCTCCCTAGAGACACTGCTAGACAAGTTTCGTACAGTTGTCTGCATATTTTATGTTGAACGTTATTTTTATTTAAAAAAATAACTTTAAATAACATTGTGTGTGTGTGTGTGTGGGGGGGGGGGGGGATGTGTTTAAATGCTGTCTAAAGAATTTTTATTTTAGCATTATTTATTGAAATAAACTAGGCATTTATCATAAAAGGTCAGATATGATTAGTTTGCTGAATTACAAACACGTTTTTTAATTATTATTAGAAATAATAATAATAATAACAACAACAATAATAATAATATTAATAGTAAAAATAATAGGGCTGCACAGTGGTGCAGTGGTTAGAGCTGTTGCCTTGTAGCAAGAAGGTCCTGGGTTCGCTTCCCGGCCTGGGATCTTTCTGCATGGAGTTTGCGTGTTCTCCCTGTGCATGCGTGGGTTCTCTCCGGGTACTCCGGCTTCCTCCCACAGTCCAAAAACATGACTGTTAGGTTAATGGGTCTGTCTAAATTGTCCTTAGGTGTGAGTGTGTGTGTGTGTGTGTGTGTGTGTGTGCATGATTGTTTGTCCTGTGTGTCTCGATGGACTGGCTCTCTGTCCAGGGTGCACCCCGCCTGATTGCCCATTGACCGCTGGAGATAGACACCAGCCCCCCGCGACCCTACATGGAAAAGCGGGTTCAGACAATAGATGGATAATAATAATAATAATAATAATAATAATAATAATAATAACAATAATAATAATAATAATAATGCTCTACATAGCTCTTTTGCCCTCAGTGAATAAAAAA